CATTTGCAATATGTGGTTTTATATTCTGAGATGCCTCTATTGCAAAGAAATTTATGATTAACAAAGTAATTTAAAATTATTAGAAAAAAAAAATCAATGACACACTAAAATGCAATGATACATTGTTAAAATACAATGTAATATTGTCAAATTGGGCCGCAAAACTCTGTGTTATAGTAAAATGTTTGTTCTCAAAGATTTAAACTTGGTTAAACTTTTATGAGTAGTTTAGTTGTGGTAGTCATGGTAATGACTAAACGGTTTGACTTAATGTATTATGTCTATATTCTTTAGTCACCAGTTTCTTTAGTCGTGGTAGTCATGTTAATAACTAAACTATTTGACTTAATGTATTATAAATGTCTATATGACTGACAACTTATTCATAAAAGAACAGTTAAGTCTATAAAGCTATTTCTTGGTCTCAAGTTACAAAGTTTTTACTAAAATTTACATGAACTATTTTCTATTTTTTTATTTTTATTTTGTTTTAGATTCTCCTGAAACATTTTTATCAGCTAACCTCACAATTAAAGAAAGAGAATCAGCTAACTTTAGTTGTTTGTCTGAGGGACAGCCTATTCCTGTTTTAAAATGGCTTCTTAACAATAAAACCGTGTTTACAAATAATGAAAAGGTAAATTTACAATTTAATTCCTAATGCTATTTTTATTGTTTGCAAATTTTATATTTTTGCTACATTTAAATAGGTAAATATTGCAACAAACTCAATATCCAATGTTTTTAGTGGAACAGTGAGTTCTAATTTGTCTATGGTCAATGCTAGCAGAAATGATTCTGGTGAAATCACTTGTGTTGCAGATAATCCAGTCAACTCTGTAGCAAAAATTACAAATCTAAATGTTCAATGTAAGAAATACAATTTTTTTTGTTTATTTTCTTGTTGGTTCCTAATATTTTAATGTAAATAAAACAATTTTTAATTGAGTAAAGTTTTTATTACCCAATGTTTTATTACCCAAAAGTCATTTATTCATTCATTTAGTTGAGTGGAAGCACATATTATGTTTTTAAATATAGGAACCTTAGATGTGAGTTAAGAATTTTTATAAGATAGATGTTTTGCTAATTGAGTGCCAATCTTTGTCAAGTGAGAACCTTTTGAGTCAAACCCAAGATCGAGATATCAATTCTAATGGTCATTAAATATTTGAGATAATGTTTCTGATTACAAAAACATTATGGAAAGTGTTCACCAGTAACAGTTTTTGAACATTAAGAAAAGTATATTTCTTGTTTGAATGTTTGAAACAGTTTTCAAAATTGTTTTAAAATATAATTACAGAAAAAAGAAAAAAAGTATACAAAGTATACAAGAAGAAAAAAAAGATCACTAAACACAAAAAACTTATCTAAAAAATTAAAACAAAAAATTAAAAATTTAACTGAATGATTAAAAATTAGTTAATTAGAACTATATTAGATAAAAGAAACAAAACATAACTTTAATAACTATAAAATAAACCTATTAACTTTTAATTTGAATTTTTCATTTTAATGTTTTTTTTTGTTAGTTTTTTATAAAAAAAATTTTTCGAAGCTGAAATGTTGTTAATATCTTATGTATAACATTAGGTGTAGGTCCATCAGTTACGCATCCATCAGTATACTTTTTGTTGTCCATTCATTTGTGGTTTAGTTCTTGTATTCATTTCTTTTTATTTTTTTAAACTTTAGTTCATTTTTTCTTCAATCTTTTTCAAAACAACAATTATTGTTTTTGTTTTATTTTTCATATTGTTTTACATTTATTAATGATATTTGTTGCTTTGTTTTAAGTTTTAAGTTATTAGCAAACACTGTTGTGTTTATGAAACATCATTAAAGTATTTCCTCTAATTTAGAATTAAATGATGGTAAATTGTTGTTGTTTTTTTTTTGACAATTCTGTTTTTGCCATTTGTATTGCTTTTTTTCTCGGTTTAAATAAAACATCATTCGTGGTTTTCTTTTTATTTTGCAGCTGCTCTTTTTAATCATATTTTTTTTTATAATCTTTTATACAAGAACAAATCTCTGAAGAACAAAAAATTGATGCTAAAGATATTGTCTGATGCTTAAGAACATTAATTTCAGATTATTAAACATTGACACAGTATTTTATTTCAGAAATTCTTTAATAATATCTTTAATGTTAACAAAAGCTATTCAAACATTCTATTTCTCATGCATATCTCTGATCTCAACTTATCCCAAAGATAACTATTTACAAAGAACTTTTTCTAATTTATCTCTTGAATCTAATAACCACACTCACCTATCATCTCAAAGAAACAAGTTAACAGGTGATAAGTAAATATCTGGAATGACTTTATTTTGAAATAATTAGGTAATTTCTTGCACAAAGGCAATTAAAATAAATTCTGGCATTCCAGCCGGAAATATTTTAATTCCGGCTGAAACTGGAATAACCTAAAAAACAAAAAACTAGAATTCTGGCCGGAACGGAATTCTTGTACTTCCCTAATTTAAACCTTGTTTATTCAAAATAACAGCCAGTTTGCCTGATCCTGGTTGTTGATTTCCATTAATTCCATCTTCATAACACTATTATTTTCATAAAACTTGTACACATAATGCATTACATGTGTGTACAAGTTTTATGAAGATGGAATTAATGGAAATCAACAACCAGGATCAGGCAAACTGGCTGTTGTTTTTAAAAAACAAGATTCAAATTAGGGATGTACCAAAATTCCGTTCAGCCGGAATTCCGGTTTTGTGTTTTTTAGGTTGCTCCAGTTATTTAATTAAGACAGGTGACACAAACTGTGACCGTTTTTTTTTTAATTTATTTAATTTTTTAAATTTTTTTTAATTAAAATTAATTAATTTTAATTAATTTTAATAATTAAGACAGGTGACACAAACTGTGACTCCAGTTATTTAATTAAAACAGGTGACACAAAAAATCATTGTCCTACAGGGCATTGAAGAACTATGGGTAAACCAAGGTAAAAAAAAAACAAAGTTCTTAACAAATACAATGCAATTTTAGGTTATTCTACAGTTTAGCGCTCTATAATAATTTTATTTTTTCGCTTGTTGTGATCTCATTAGTGGAGAGCTTTTAAACATTAGAAATTTTAATTTAAATAATAAAAGAAAAAAGATTGCTGCTCTATGCCAAATCCTCAGTCAATGTAGCAGCAATGCCTTGAAGAAGCAGGCTATAAGATAGTTGATGTAGCAAAACTCCCTTGTAGCAACAGGCTATAAGATAATGGATTTAGCAGCAGGCTATAAGATAGTCAATGTATGTACAAAAGCCAATAAATATTCTTTATGTTTATATTAAAAAGTCACCACTCGGTATTCAAACCACTGCCCACAAGCAAAAAAATGCTTGCAGAGACTTTTTTAAATGTCCTTTAAATAATTTGGATTTTTAGGAGACAATCATCTTGGTAATGTAATACTTTGAACTACCTCAAAAATCAATCCAGACATCAAAAAACTAGTTTCAGACAGTCAAGTTCACTACTCCTAATAATTATATTGCTTTGATACAAATGATTTTAACAGTTATTAGTCACCTATATTTTTGTAGAAATAAATATATTTTGCACGCAAAATTGCTTTTTAACTTTTTTTTGCCCGTATCGTAAAAAGTCTAACCATCCCTGACTTAGAGCAAATCTCCACACAAAAGCCACAGCCTTAAAATAAAGTTATTTTATAAATATATATTATATAGCCACGATGCTGAGGTCCAGGCTTTCACTTTTAATCTTGAAAACAAAAACTACATTAATATAAATCTCGTTAATTTTTTTAACAATTCTGGGAAATCCGTTTTCAGCCCGAATTCAAAATTCCAGTACACCCCTAATTAAAATTGATCGAGACAATCGACAAACAATAAAAGTGGTTTATTACAAAGAAAGTTAACTAAAAAATTAAATTTTAGTTAATTTTATATGTTTCAATGGTTCTAAATCATAAACTAGGGATTAATTGTTTCAAAAAAACTAAAATACAAGATAGAAGTTTTGTTCAGATGGTGGAAGCAAGAAGCAAATGAAGAAACTCCATTGGTAAAATATGCAAAAACGCATAAGTTTGAAGCTAAAGTACTAGTTTGGATAGCATTTTCAGAGGGTAGAGGGTTTACTGAATCATTGGTAGAGAAAGTGGCTTTGCTATTAACCAGAATGTATATAAGGAAAAATGTTTTGAAGCTAGATTTATATTATTTTCGAAACAGTATCATTCTGATTACAATTACATATTTTGACCAGATTTAGCTAGTGCACATTTTGAAAAATGGTGATAGTTTGTTTAGTTAAAAACAATGTTCCAGTGGTACCCAAGGTAAAAAACCCTATTTATTCCCTTTCAATTGAGACCTATTGAGTACTTCTGGTCTCAAAAGGGAAAGTGTACAACAGTAACTGGTGTGCTTTAAATACTAATCAACTCAGAAATACTAATCAACTCAGAAGGAGAATAAAAAAATGTTTAACTGAATTTGAAATCGAGTGCATACAATAGAGCTTGTTAGTCTCAATTAGGTTGTGACTATCAAATAGGAATAAGCATTAAATATGCTTTCAAATTTAAAATTTTTTTTTTTTTTTAAACGTTTTTTTATTTTATTTAGCCATACAAGTATTTTAAATTCATTCTAGTTAATTAGTTTTCACCAGCTCCAATGCTAAAGTTATTTCTTATTTACACTCTTCTACAGCTTGTAGTCTACATTTCTGTCACAGCCTTACAAATGTGTTCTTTAAAATTTTGTTCATAACTCTCTAAAATATTTAACATGACTAAAGCTTGTTTTCCAGTTTGCTGGAAAATAAGATCTGCAGTTCAAATTTTTTAAAATTTAGGAGATTGCTATGACCCCTCTAATCCATTGCCCGATCAGTCTTTTTACTATTATTAACAATATCTTTGAATCTCAAATCAATAAACTACTAAAATCTTATCTTGGGTAATTATTACTTACTCTCTCACAATCAAAAGGATTTTATTCTTTTGTTCTACCACCAACTAATCAACAGGCTAAATTACTGCTTATAACTTATTAAAGACTTTTAATAAAGTCTAGCATGGCGGTCTTCATCATAAACTCTTTAAATGGTTTATGCAGTAAAGTTTTTATGGAATAATTTTTCTATTGAAATGCTTTTTTCCAACCACATTTCTTTGCTAGATAACAATCTCCTTTATTTTAAGTAACTACTGGGTTATTTCTCCATTAAGTTCATTGTTGTTTCTCATTTTTATTATAAATTTTTCTGATAACCTCTATGTTAGCACTATTTGCTGATGGTTCAACTATTTATTCTTGTTGCCTTCTTACTGTTGGCAAAATTTCATTGCTCTTTAATTGCTTGGAATAAACATTAATTAACATTATCATTTCTAATCTATGAACGTTTGGGGCTTGCTGTGGATGAAAAAATTCATACTCAGCAATTGTATTTCATTCATTCATTCATTTAGTTGTTTACTACTTATAATTATTGTTGATTTATTTTTAGATTTATTTAGTTCTTATATTGATGAATGACAACCCTCTTACTGAGTCCTCTACTTTATGTCTCTTCAGATTATCTTTTGAAACAGACCTTATGGAAATCATATATCCAATCCATTTCAAATTTAGCAGCCTGCTAATGGTTGTCCTTTTTTTATTGCATTTGCACTATTCTTACTCCTGATTCCATTCTTTACTTCTATAAGTTTCCTATTTGTCTTTGTATGAAATACTGTTGTTAAATTTGGGCTAGTACTTTTAATGATACCCCTTCTGTTTTAGACAACATCCAAAAACTTTTTTTTTTGAATTCTTTTGTCCTTAACCTGGTTGATACAATATACAAATTTCATGTCTTCTGTCAACTGTTTTTTTGCTTATTGAAATATTTTTTTAATGAAATTTATGTTTATCCTAAACACTTTTGCTTCCATTCCATTTTTTTTAATAAAATTTATGTTTATCCTAAACACTTTTGCTTCTATTATACTTTTTTAATGAAATTTATGTTTATCCTAAACACTTTTGCTTCCATTCCATTTTTTTTAATGAAATTTATGTTTATCCTAAACACTTTTGCTTCTATTATATTTTTTTAATGAAATTTATGTTTATCCTAAACACTTTTGTTTCTATTATACTTTTTTAATGAAATTTATGTTTATCCTAAACACTTTTGCTTCCATTCCATTTTTTTTTTAATGAAATTTATGTTTTTCCTAAACACTTTTGCTTCTATTATACTTTTTTAATGAAATTTATGTTTATCCTAAACACTTTTGTTTCTATTCCATTTTTTAATGAAATTTATGTTTATCCTAAACACTTTTGCTTCTATTATACTTTTTTAATGAAATTTATGTTTATCCTAAACACTTTTGCTTCCATTTCATTTTTTTAATAAAATCTTGCAAGAATCTTTATCATCCAGCTTTTTTCAATCATTTAGGATTTTACTTTCATGTTTAATTCTTTTAATTCATTTGTTTAATTCAGGTTAATTTTTTTATCATGTTCTTATACTTTTACACCATATTTAGAACAAGATTTTATGTTATAAACGTTAAAAAAAAATTGCAAATTGTCATAACAACCAAGAATGATTTTTTTTAAATAACTTTTTTTATTGATTTTATTAGTTGCTTTTTTATTATAGATCTATATTTCATTTCGATTTGTAAGCTATGTTTTTTTCTAGATCCACCGGATTGGAAAGCTGTTTATAACCCAGTGTATGTTGTTTTTAAGCGTTTAATGGTATTGGATTGCTATGTAAATGCTAACCCCCCAGCTTCCTACAATTGGTTTATTAATGGAACGCCTATTGATAATAATGCTTCAACCTATGTTGTTGATTCTGCCAACGTAAGTATGGCGTAAGTGTTGTGTAAGCATAGTATCATTTTATTTTGGTAAAAGTGTAGTTGTGAGATATTTTCTTAAATAATTGTTGTGAGATGAATATGTTTTAAATATTTGTTTTGATATAAATATGTTCTTAAATATTTGTGTTTCAAGTGTGGTATCAGTTTTGGTGTAACTGTTGCATAAGCATAAGTTTTAATTTGATGTTAATGCAAAAGTTTGATTACTTCTTCTAATTTTTAATTTTTCTAGTTTAACAATGAAGGCAACTACACATGCTTACCTAGTAACTATCTTGGGTCACCTGGAATCATATTGTTCACAGTGTTTATGCTAGGTTCATTGAGTATTTCATAATGATGCATTTCATTATTTTTTTTCTTTTCTATACATGTGTGTATGTACATAGGCGTTAACATACACAAATTGTAATCATAAATATGTTGTATATATACTAATATCATATACGCATATAACATATGTACTTACATATACCATATAGACACCTATTTTAATAATTGTATTGATTTTCGAGTATTTAAAGACTATGCTGCTGTTGTTGTTGCTGCTGATTGTTGGCTGGAGGTTTTACAATAAGTCCTGCTCATTCAATGAAACTGAAGTAAAATCTGCAATAAGAGTTGCTGAAAATTTTTTGGAGAGAGAACTTTGAAAAAGAATGTTGATGAAATTAATTGTCAGCAAAAATGTATTTGCAATCTACCGCTAAAAAAACTTTTTTGTATCTACTGTTAGCAAGACTTTAGATATTTTTAACAAGAATAGAAGAGTGCAGTCTTAACAAAGTGTAGTAGTAATCTAGTAATTTGTAATTGGCAGCAGAAATAAGCAAGAAAAAAATATAAAAGCAAATGTCTATATTACTAAAGGTCTTAGGTTCAAGATTTATGCTCACATTGAAAACGTTGAAAATGTTTAACAAACGTTAACAAATTTCACTTTGACATCAACAAGGCTATTTCACATTGACAAACTTTTGTTTCCATAAACAAAAATGATAAGATGGAAACAGTATCCTCAAAATAACCTTTTGAATAATTTTTGTAACTTCTTAAATGTTTGTTGCAAACAAAATACCTTTTTTTTATTACAATTTAGCCATCTTTAATTGAAAGCAATACAAGATACATAAGATTGTGAAACATGATAAAATATGTTTTAGGATTTTTTTTTATTAGTGTTGGCCACATTATGAACAAACTTTTGACAATAAAATATATTTTTTACAAGATTTCATAATATTTAAAATGAATTACTTTTAATTGCATTTTAAGTTGTCCACTATACTAATTAACTTTTTTAATATACATTTATTTATAAATTTTTTTCCAGACCGTTTCATTCATTGCAAAATAATGTTTTTAATACATAATTGATTGGTTAAATATTTTATTAATACTGTTATTGATTAGTTTTTTGATTTGGACAATCAGTCTTATGCTTGTGTAAAATTATAAATTATTGTCATTTAGTTCCCCCTGAAAATATTAATGTGAATTGTGAATCTACAGACCCTGTCTACGGTGACAGAGTAGTGACATGTAATTGCACAGGTAATGGTCGACCTGCTCCTGAGTTTTTCTGGACAAGAAAGAGTGATCTAACTAACACCATTCTTTCAAGTTCACAGGTTCTTATAATAAGTGTGCCATATACTGACTCTGATGTTTTTGTATGCCACATGAAGAATATAGCTGGTACATTATCATCATTGCAGCCAAGTGGTAAAATTCTTTATAAAATTTTAAAAACGCTTTTATTAGGACTTTGTTGTAGTATTATGAGGTTTTAGAAAATATTAAATAATAATTATTAACATTTTATATTAGGAAATTGCTTTTATTTTGTTTATATTAAGTTTGAAATTCTTAAAATAATTTTTTTCTCTCATTTTAGCTGGTTATTCAGTTTCAAATAAATGTAAGTTTTTATGTTTTAGTTATTTATAAAGAACATTTAATTAGGCAGTGGTATAGCAGTTCTTTTTTTATTTTATTTTATTTTTATGTTATCGTGTAAAAAAAATTTTTTACAATGACTTTTGTATTTATATAGAAATTCTTTTATTTTTTTTATGTAAAATTTGAAACTATAACAATAAAAATTAATACTACTGCAACTTTATTTTAGCAAATTTTCTTTTGCCGGGAAAACTATAAAGTTATCTTGTAATAACAAAAATATTTTTTATAATCTTCATGTTAACAATTCACTTATGTAAAGGATAATATTTAAATAAATTTACATGTAAAATAAATGTTACTATATAGTTTGCTTATATTTATATTTGTCAAGAAATTCTAACAGCAATAAATGTAATTTTTACTACTCAATTTATTTTTGGAAGATTTTGTTTTGAAACAATTTAAAGTAATAAAATGTCTTTAAGTAACTCACCCCTGCTCATTAATTGTTTATAAGTAATCAAGCTAGCGAATAACATTTGTCAATACGAATATTTGTCAATCCAGGGCGACTAAAACTTTGATTTATTTATTCTGAAAAGATGAGTATAAAAAGAATTTATAAACAATAAACCAAATAGTGACCAGATACTAATGTAACCAGGTTGATATAATGATACTTATGTAACCAGGTTGAATTAATTGATGTTGGTTTGTGATAAATTTTAAAAATATACAACCCCATATGAATCAAATTTGAAATTTCATCTGATTACATTACTATAAAAATACAATAAAATAAATTTATAAAAATAAAATTTTTTTTAATCTCTTAAGTAAATTATACATACTTATTGCTTTTTCATTAAGCTGTGTATTTTTTTATTTTATATCAATATTTATTAATTCATTTAACCAATAGTAGTAATAAAAATAATAAGAATTTTTTTATTTAAATAATAAATAAAAATAATAAAAAAAAAATAAAACTGAGAATTCACTAAAAAATTTATGAGCATTTATTTAAGTTGTGTGTATACACACACGTATATACATTAACAATTTAATACTTATACTATTTTAAATTTTATTTTAAATTTATTTACCACTAATTTAAAAAGTATTTTACTCAGAACTTATTTAAAATTTTCTCCAATGATGACTTTACTCAGAATTATGCTAAAATCTCCAAGAATGATGTTGTTAGCTACAATATAATAAAAAACTGTTCTTTAAGTTAGATTGCAACAATGTTTTTAGTAGGATCAACCATTGATGTTTTTTTTTACAAAATGAAAATTTTATTAAAACTGTTGTCTTAAAACAAGTGGTTTGGAAACAAGTGGTTTTGAAACAAGTGGTTTGGAAACAAGTGGTTTAGGAGCATTAAATCTTGTTTGGGTAAAATTGAATCAGGAAAAAAAAAAGGTTTGCTATGTCAATGTCTGATATTTTAAATAAAATATAAATTATCCATAAAAGTAATCTGATTAATGATTAATCAAATTTGTTCAGATCAGGGGTGTGGAGTCGTAAAAAAAAGTAACGACTCCAGTTGTTAAAATTTTTTGAGTACAGCTATGACTCCAACTCCGACTTCGACTTTTTGAAAAATTATTTGAATTCTTTAAAAAATATTATGCGATAAAATAAAATAAAGTTTTTTGACAAATTTATGAAACGTTCTTTGAGGTTTAGTATAAATATAAGGTTAATTGAATGTTTTATACATGCTCGTGCAATACCGAGAAGTTTTACCATTGGAGTCGGAGTCATGATTTTGTTTAGTGACTCTGACTCTGACTCCGCTAAAAATGTTGCAACTCTGACTCCTACTCCACAGCCCTGGTTCAGATAAAATAAATTCAATTGATATTGAATTTATTTTATCTGAAGTTTTACTATCCTATGTAAATATTTTAGATAATAATACTTATTTAAGCCATAGTTGGTTATAATAATTAATCCATAATTGTTGTAATAAAGTGTTTAGTTAAATAAAAATTTAATAATTTAAATTTTTTTTGGATCTTTCGAAAGTTATTTTGTGTTTAATTTATAATCAGTTACATATTAATAAAGTTAATCTAAGTAAACTTTATTGTAATAAAATGACCATGCATAGATTATACTGTAATAAAATGACCATGCATAGAACATATTGTAATAAAATGATCATGTATAGAACATTTTGTAATAAATGACCATGCATAGAACATATTGTAATAAAATGACCAGGCATAGAACATATTGTAATAAATGACCATGCATAGAACATATGTCAAATATCATAAAAAAAGTCAGAAGAATAAGACTTTTAATTTGAGAAAAAACTTTTATCTTATAATTTCTTATAATTTGTTATCTTATAATTTTTGGATTAGCAGTTTGTTTTAGTTATAGCTCTAATCACTACATTTAGATTTAGTGTTTAGAACTAAATACAGGAAATACTTGAAGAAATGAGAGCTTAGAGAGCTATCAACTTTTATTTAAGAAATATTAACTTTTAAGTGATAATAACTTTTATTTAAAAAGTAATAGTGCAAGCATCAACACTGCTTTTTAATTTTAAAATTAAATTTACTTTAAATTAAATTTTTTGTTTTAGGCACTGCTTAAATTTGGTTTTTATCTTAGTGACACATAAAACATTTAAAACTAAGCATGAGCTGCAAACAGTGGTTAAAGAAACTTTTTCCACACATCTCTTAACTGCTATAACTAGTATTAAAATTATCATTAAAGCATGAAAAATAGTTTTGTAAACAAAAGAACAGTATAAAAAAAAATGCAAAAATAAATGTTAAATATGAATGAGGCTGTGTTAAAAGGTGTCATTAAAGTGTTAACACATTTCATAACACATCATAACAGTTATTTTTTATCAATTTTTGCTTCTTAACATCTTTATACTGACAAAAAATGCTCTTTTGCATGGTTGTTCAACAAAATATTAACTAAAAAGGTTTTTCAGGTGAAGTGTGGCCACAAATAGTATTATGAGTTTATTATAAAGTTTTAAAGAATATTTTATGAACAGATGAAGTTTTTATAAATGAAATGCACAAAGTTGCAACTATATTGTAAAATATAAATAAATTTAAATATAAGCAACTTAGTTTATAATTAGCAAAATCTCTAAATTTTATTTTATATATATATATATATTATATATATATATATATATATATATATATATATATATATATATATATATATATATATATATATATATATATAACAGGGGTGTACACTCGATTTTTAGATGTTTGAGTTTTGACACTTACAGGCATTGTGCAAACTCCAAACTTTTGTATGTTCATGCTTATGTCAAATGAGGATGTTTTGCAAAGAATTGTGGTGATTGGAGGTTGGGAACAAAAAAACCCTAATTTTTGGGCCCACCCGGCCCTTAATGTGGGAGCAACAAGTTTATAAATTATTTTCTATACTATTTTTGTTTAAATCAATATTCATCAACAAATTTCAAATTTCATGCAATAATCTTTTAGTGTTCAGTTTTTATGACCCTGCAAAGTTTAGAGCCCCCTCAAATTGAGGGGGGTTAAAACTTTATATGGTCATAAAAACTAAACACTAAGAAAATATTGCATGAAATTTAAAATTTGTTGATAAATATAAACTTAGATAAAAATAGAAGAGAAAATTTTTTATAAACTTGTTGCTCCCATATTAAGGGTCGGGTGGGCCCAAAAATTAGGGTTTTTTTGTTCCCAACCTCCAATCACTGCAATTCTTTGCAAAACATCCTCATTTGACATAAGCATGAACATACAAAAGTTTGGAGTTTGCACAATGCCTGTAAGTGTCAAAACTCAAACATCTAAAAATCGAGTGTACACCACTGATATATATATATATATATATATATATATATATATATATATATATATATATATATATATATATATATATATATATATATATATATATATATATATATATATATATATATTATAAAACTTATTAAAAAGTTTGGTAATTACTTTTTTTTCACTCTTTGCCAAAAAACAAATATAGATGAGTACTAGTACTTTTTTTTTTTACAAAAAAAAACCACTAAATGTATTTTATAATATATCACAAAGTGTGATTGATGTTTTAAGTTTTTGTGTTTAAGTTTGTCTAAAGTTCTTAAAAATCTGTTTATGATTTTTACTTGTTTTACCAATACTTTTGTACAACTGTCCTGAAAACACGAACTTATGTTGATACTTTTCTATTTTAGCATATGGATACCTTCTATATATTCTAATACCACTATTCATTATTGGAGCAGTTATTCTTACCTTTCTCATTTGTAAAAATAAAAGGTAACTGAGTTGGTTTTGTGTAGTTTTGTTCTTTATCTAAATTGTTTTAGGGTAGTTAGGGTAGTAGTCATATTAGGGTCATAGTTAGGGTAGGGTAGTAGTCATATTTCAGGCTATTGTTTTCATAGGTAGTTCAGGCTAATATTTTCACCAAGTTAATTCTTTTTTTTTTTTAAGAAAAATATATTTTTTGACAATTTGCACAATTTTGTGCAATTTGGTGATGTAAAAATAAATTTTTTGCATTTCTATTTTTATGTTAAATTTAGAAGGATTTGTTCAAGTAAAAATACATAATTCATATATTTTATTTGTAAATAAATTAACTTTGTACAATTGTTTGTCAAAATTTGTGTTTCAGAATTACATTACACTACATTCATAGTTATCATATTTACAGTTGTTTGTCAAAATTTCAGGGTTGTAAAGTTAAGAATGGGTTGCAATAAAATTTACAAAAACTGCAAATAATTTCTAGCTTCTTTCAATATATTTAGTCCACCTTGCTCTTTAGGAAACAAGTATATATAAGGGAAAAAATATTATTTGTACCATGGCTTTTATAAGAACTTGCTTTAGGATCAGTTGTAGCCTCAGGAGATTCCAGTGCAATATAAGAACCTTTATTTTGTATGTAGGACCCTTTCAAACTTTTTATAACAAGTAAGGTTTTGTCAAAAAATTATTTTAGGAATAGTATAGCCCACGTAAAAACTTTATTATCATTTTTAAGACTTTTAGTGTCCCCAAGCTTTAAACCTAGGAACTGCTGCTTAACAAAGAGAAATTTTTTTTGTAAAACCAAAGCAAAATTTTTCTGTTAGGCTTTGTACAAAAACATGTTGATGCTTAGTTGAGCAAGCTCCGGCAGCCAAATATTTGAAATTCCATCTCATTGTTGCAATGTTGCATCTCTTTTTTCATCTAACAAAATTTATTCTGGCATGATTAGTAGTTTTATAAATTCTTTTCACAGTGACTACTCTTTTGTACTTTTTTAATCTAATTTTTTCTTTTTTTTTGAACTTCAGTGAATCTCATTGGGTCATCTGTTAAACTGCTTTTTTGATATTTAACCATCTTTTTTAGTCAACTTTCTGAGTAACTTGTCAAGTAGTGGCTTGTTTGGAGTGAATTTGTGTGAACAGAAAAAAAATCCAAAGCCAATTTTAAAATGCTAGTGTGTTTATTTTGATTTCACAAACTATTATTCTGTAATTTGATGCTGCTCGAAATATGACTATTTACCCTATATGTTTTTTTCAAATAAAATAGCTATGCAGTGATACTGGAAATATGTTGAGTTGTGTGAACTAAGTATCAGTTAAAAAAAGAAAAATTCATAATATATTTTGTTAATATTATCGAAACAAAAAAATAACAAAGAACTAGTTAGAGAATAAATGATTCACTTTATAGACGCTTTTGCGACGTAGGTATTTCCCTTCCCCAAGTACCCTAGAATTTTTTTTTTGCTTCGCATTTAGATTTCAGTATGATATATCTGTCAAGAACAACATGGCGGTAGGTTTTTTTTAAATGTAAAAGCTTTAAACGGTTTGTTTTCACTTTTTTATTTACATTATTATTTTTATTTATTCATTGTTATATTGATATTATATTCATTATACTATATAATAATATATATATATATATATATATATATATATATATATATATATATATATATATATATATATATATATATGTATATATGTATATATGCATATATATATGTATATATATATATATGCATATATGTATATCACAGTGGACCAAAGAGACCAACCGGTTTTATGTTGTGTTGATAAAATGAAACAATTTCTAACTAAGAGTACTTGTTTTTTGGTAATAGAAAAGGTTGCTGCTAAAAGAAAGGAAGATTGAGGGCCTCCATACCCATTTAAGAAATTTTATTAATTTTCATTTATTTTTCACTTTCTATGTATCAAATATTGAAAGTTAGATTTGCAAAAATATTATAGAGCATTAAGTTTAAGCTGGTACACGGACCCAGAGGGTTTATCAAAAACATAAAATTCTTACAACGGACCTGAAGGGTTTATCAAAAATATAAAATTCTTACAACTGACCCAAAAGGGTTTATCAAAAATGTAAAATTCTTGTTTCTTCTTTATTTCTCAATCAAAGTTTAAAACATTCAATTATTATTGCATTATTGCAAATTATTATTGCATTATTGCATTAAAATATATTAACATAAAAATACACAAATATAAGCAATATATGGAATCCAACTAAGTTTACTAACATTACTAACTCTTCTACTGTTAAAATCAATTACTAAAGAAATAAGTTTTCCACCATATTTTTTGTTTACTAGTTATCTATAAAACCTGTTGTTGGTCTGAATTTGGAATAAATTGATTCTCTACATTTGTTTTTACTTTCCAACTTATTGAATGTTTTTTTCCAAAAATATTTGCAGTTTCTTCAACAGATAAAAATAAAGTTTTAATTTTAAATTAGCCTGCTGATAACCAAGCATTAGAATGATAAGCTTGCTCAACCAAAACTAAAATCCTTTACAACTTCAAAGTCTTTCAAACATTAAACAATTGGAGCAATATCAGGAAACTCAGGTAAAACTCTTTTCAACTCGTCAACACATTTAAATTTGAACTGCTCTTGTCACAAACTCTACCTTTTTTTTCAAAAATACTTTAGTAACTGTAGTAACTATATATAGTTTAGTAACTATAGTAACAAAAGTAGTTTAGTAACTATAGTAACAAAAGTAGTTTAGCAACTATATAACTATAGTAGTTTCACTATAGTGAAATAAGTTTTTTTGGCCAAAGTTGGTACTACAAAGTTGGGCGGTACTACAAACTTCTCAATCATAATAAGTCCTAAAGATAGGCAGGTGGAAATACCTATTTTTATGATTATTATCATAGCACCTTTTTTGGTCCATTTTTTGCCCTTAGCAACTTATTTGAAACTATAAATACTCTTAAATATATAAAGTTTTATTCTGTTGACACAAATAAAACCTCTCTATAATATAATAAATTATTATAAATTTATTATAAATTTAAATTAGTATAAATCTATGATATTTTAATATATATATATATGTATGTGTGTATATATATATATATATATATATATATATATATATATATATATATATATATATATATATATATATATATATATATATTATGTATATATATATTATATATTTACACATTTCATTTACTACTTATATTAATACTTAATATTAATTTTTTTTCCACTCATCTTTTTCCCATTTTTTAATGTCCACTGAGTTTATATGTAATACTCAAAAATTTTATGACCTTAGTTTAAGTAATATATAAAATCTTTTTTTTTTTTTTTAATTAAAATAGTGAGATTTTGGATCTCACAGTTTAAAATGACTGTTGGTGCCATTTTCCTCCTAGCAGATTTAGATAACCTATATTTTTAGGCTAGGTGACACTCATGTTAGTTTGGTCAGTCTGGTTCATACTATTCTGTGAATCCTTGCTCACAGAGGCTTGGCTCACAGAGGCTTGGTTCTAATGAACAGTTAGACGGTTTTTAATGTAGAAAAATGAGATTCAATGAAACAAAACAAACTTCTCTGTTTTATTTTTAGATCAATAATAACAGTCATAAAAACAGGGATCTGCAGAGATGTGTTGCTTCTGCTGTAATAGTTATATGGAAGAAAGAAGGGCTTCAAGAATTTATTAACAGTGGATCCAGTATTAGGGGTAAGATGCTTAATAATAAATTCATAAATCTCCATCATCTCATATCATTGAAATGGAATTATAGTGCTGGCAATATTTCTAATATAAGTTTTTATGGGAGTCTAACATGCTCTCTGAGATTCTGAGTAATGTTTGAACAGAATGTCAGGATAGCTTATGCTCTGAAAATGTCAATGAGGAATATTTAATTTTATCTATATCAGAAAAGAGAGGGAAACATATTTATTACAGAAAATGTGAACCAACCATTCTAGAAGTCAGATGAGAATAAAAGTATTTGGTTCAGGAGGATGGAGGAGGCAAAGTAATAAAGGCAAAGATGGAAGCGGTAATGTTGAAACGATAATGAATGTAGTAAAATTCAATGAGCTTGAATTTCATTTGATTTGTCTTAACTTGATTTCAAATCAAAGTTAGTTTAGATTTTTTAAATGTTGAAGATTTAGCTGATAAATTTAGTTCAGAGCTATTAGATTCAGTTCAAGAAATCAGTGCAAAAAAAGCAAATAGTTGTTGTAATAAAAAGATAATGGTAAGCACTAAAGATCTGTACTGTAAAGAGTGTACTGCTTTAGTTTTTTCCCGATACAGGTATACGTCTACAAACCTCATTAATAA